CTCACCTCAGCCTCCCAAAGTGCTGGGATTACAGGCTGAGCCACCAAGCCCAGCTTGATGTAGCTTTTTAGGGCAACTTTATTGCCACAAATATACAGTAGATCCTTGAATGATGTGGGGGTTAAGGGTACCAACTTTCGCCCCTTGCCACCACACAGTCAAAAGTAGCAAATTAACTTCTGACTCCCCAAAAACTTAACCACGGCTGGGCACAGTGGCTCATGCCTATAATCCCAGCACTTCGGGAGGCCGAGGTGAGAGAATTGCCTGAGCCCAAGGATTCGAGACCAGCCTGGGCAACTTGGCAAGACCTCATCTCCACAATAAATCAAAAAATTAGCTGGGCGTGGTGGCGTGTGCCTGTAGTTCCAGCTACTTGGAAGGGTGAGGCGGAAGGATAGCCTGAACCCAGCTGGTCGAGGCTGTGGTGGCCGTGAGCATGCCACTGCACTCCAGTCTGGGCATCAGAATGAGACTCCGACTCAAAAAAAAAACAAACAACTTAACCACTAACAGCCTCCTGTTGACTGAAAGCCTTTTTGATACCAAAAACAGTCAGTGAACACATATTTTGTATGTTGTGTGTACCATATACTGGGTTCTTACAGCAAAATAAGAAAATGTTATTAAAACCGTAGGAAAGAGAAAATAGATTCACTGTGTATTAAATGGAAGTAGATCATAATATGGGTCTTCATCCTCGTCATCACTTTGAGTAGCTGGAAGAGGAGGGGCTGGTATTACTATCTCAGGGAAAAGAAGCAGGCACACACCATATCGCTTTTATTTCAGGTCTGGTGGCACTTGCCTGTAGTCCCAGCTAGTCAAGAGGCTGAGGTGAGGATCTCTTGAGTCCAGGAGTTTGAGGCCAGCCTGGGCAATATAGCAAGATCTCCTCTCTTTTATAAAACTTAAAAAAAACCATTTTTTTTTTTGAATCAGCGTCTCTATCACCCAGGCTGGAGTGCAGTGGCATGCTCATGGCTCACAGTAGCCTTGACCTCCTGGGCTCAGGCAATTCTTCCACCACTCAGCCTCCCGAGTAGCTGGGACTACAGATGCACGCTACCATGGCCTGCTAAATTTTTAACTCTTTTGTAGAGACCAGGTCTTACTATGTTTTCCAGGCTGGGCTCAAGCTCCTGGGCTCAAGTGATCCTCCCGCCTCAGCCTCCCAACAATTTTTTTAAATAAAAAAATCCATTTGTAGCCGGGCTTGGTGGCTCAGCCTATAATCCCAGCACTTTGGGAGGCTGAGGTGAGTGGATTGCCTGAGCCCACGGGTTCAAGACCCGCCTGGGCAGGCGAGACCTCATCTCTACAATAAGTCAAAAAATCAGCCGGGCGTGGTAGCGCGTGCCTGTAGTTCCAGCTACTTGGAAGGCTGAGGCGGAAGGATCACCAGGTTGAGGCTGCGGTGGTTGGGAGCGGCCACTGCACTTCAGTCTGGGCAACTGAGTGAGACTCCAACTCAAAAAAAAAAAAAATCCATATGTAAGTGGACCTGGGCAGTTCAAACCCTTGTTGTCCAGGGGTCACCTGTACACCAAAAATACACATCAGGCCGAGCGTGGTGGCTCACACCTATAATCCCAGCACTTTGGGAGGCCAAAGTGAGAGGATTGCCTGAACCTAAGTGTTCGAGACCAGCCTGGGCAACTTGGTGAGACCTCATCTCTACAATAAATCAAAAAATTAGCTGAGCGTAGTGGCATGTGCCTATAATTCCAGCTACTTGGAACGCTGAGGTGGAAGGATCACCTAAACCCAGCAGGTTGAGGCTGTGGAGTGCCACTATACTCCAGCCTGGGTGACAGTGAGTCTCCAACTCAAAAAAAAATAAAAAAATAAAAAAAAGCACACATCACAAGGGTATAGCTCGGTGAATTGCCACAGAGCAAACCCACTTCATGATGGGGCTCAGCCCGTATAAACTGAGGTCCCCTTGCTCCCCTCCCAGTCTCCCCCACCCCAAGAACCATTGTCCTGTCAGCATGGGTGGGTTTGGCTAGATCTTGAAACTTATAAGGCAGAGCCATGCTGTGTGTGCTTTCCTGTGTCTGGCTTCGTGGGTAACAACATCATGTTCGGAAACGTATCACAACTTTTCAATGCTGTCGTTCACTCGAGCTTGCGGTTCCCAGGATTCCATTTGTGACTGTGCCTGTTCTCCCCTTCCCTCTTGGTGGGCACTGGGCAATTCCCCATTTGAGGTCTGTAACACATTGTGCTGCCCTGAGCCCCCCTGTCCCTGTCTTGGTGGACACGTGCCCTGTGTTCTCTTGGGGGTCAGTGTCATTGAGATGCTGCCTGGACAAGCTGTTGTAGGTGAAGAACTGCGGACCCACAGGGTACAAGTGACTGTCCCAGGTCACACAGTGCCTGCCCCGGGCCCCTTTGCCCTGAAATCTAGGTAGCTGGCACCGGCCTGGGGCTGATGGGTGGGGGGGCCTGGTGCCGCTAGCCCTCCCAGCCCACTTTGCTCTTCCTGGCCATTCTGTCAGGCAGAGCCCCTGTGGACTTAGGGTTGGTGGCCCCCTCTGTCCCTGGGGACCCTCAGTCCTCCTCTTCCTCCTTCTCCTCCTCCTCTATCCAATGCCCTCAGTCTGCTGGGGCTGGCGAGACCAGTACTTGCTCCAAACCCCAGCTCAGGAAGCATTTGGTGCCCTGTCATACTCCTTGGGGAAGGAGCCGAACCTCTGTGATGGGGGTCTTCTCTATATCCCTCCTCAGTTTTCACCCTCCTTCCTGCAGCTCTAATGGTACCAAGTGACAGATCGACTCTCCTGTAACTCGGGGACGCCAGAGCTCCTGAGAAGATGTCGGCAATACAGGTAATGCTGGGGTGGGGACCTAGGTCACAGGGGCATTCCCACCAGTCCCAGGGGGTGCTTACCACAGGAGAGAGGGACTAAGAAGACCCGCCCCCTTCCCCAACCCTCTGCCCCATGTTTTCAGTGGAGTGATAGTCCAGCTTGCGCTGTCAAACACAGGTCTGGGGGTGGGGAGTCTCAACGGGGAAGGACCCAGAGTTCTCGGGGCAGGTGGGGGAGGGGTCCCAGGCTGCACCGCCCACCTGTCGCTTGGTCTGTAGGCCTCCTGGCCCTCCGGTACAGAATGTATTGCCAAGTACAACTTCCATGGCACCGCCGAGCAGGACCTGCCCTTCTGCAAAGGAGACGTGCTCACCATTGTGGCCGTCACCAAGGTAATCGGGTGATGCCCACCACCCCCTCTCCCCAGGGCCTTCCCTCTGGGTCTAGGCCCCTCTGCAGGGGAGGTGGGCCTGAGAGCATCTGTGCTGCCCTCCCCCCAGGATCCCAATTGGTACAAAGCCAAGAACAAGGTGGGCCGTGAGGGCATCATCCCAGCCAACTACGTCCAGAAGCGTGAGGGCGTGAAGGCGGGCACCAAACTCAGCCTCATGCCGTGAGTACCATGAGGAGTGCTGGGGAGGAGGAAGCCCTGTCTTCCTGGAAGAGCTTCAGAGGAAAGCAGGGAGTGGGGCTGGGCATGGGTGAGGGCTTCGAGGAGTGGAAGGATGGGTCAGAAGGGTAGAAGAAAAAGGGATGGGGAACAGAGGATGCGGACCTCAACTGCTGGGTGGAGCAAGTGGGAGCCATGGGAAGATGGGAACGGAGGCGGCACCTTCAGAAAGGGGAACTAGCAGGTGTGTGGGGGTGGCCAGGGCCAGTGCGTGACCCCTGGCCCGGCTGCCCCCAGCTGGTTCCATGGCAAGATCACACGGGAGCAGGCCGAGCGGCTTCTGTACCCACCCGAGACGGGCCTGTTCCTGGTGCGGGAGAGCACCAACTACCCCGGGGACTACACGCTGTGCGTGAGCTGCGATGGTAAGGTGGAGCACTACCGCATCATGTACCATGCCAGCAAGCTGAGCATCGATGAGGAGGTGTACTTCGAGAACCTCATGCAGCTGGTGGAGGTGAGCATGGATGGTACCTGGGGCCACCCACCCCCACACTCCTGACCCACCCCAGGTTTTGGCTCCAGCCCCACTCTAGCTGGTTACCGAGGCATGCTTTGCACTCCGTGAGCCTGCCTTTCCTTTCCTGCATGCCAGGGCTGATCTGACTCCTCAGTGCTGCCATGGGAGGGTAGCATTATCCTTGTTTTGGGACCTGCCTGAGGTCACCCAGCTGTGAATGGAATGAGATTCTTCCTCTGTCTGATCCCAGAGCTAACCATCCTCCAGCCACTCACAGACCTGCCTGCCCACATGTGTGGGTCAGCACAGGCTATGCACCCCATCACCAGGATCCCTCAGGGTGCCACATGTCTTGCAGCTGCCAAGGCAGTTCTTCCAGCCCCAGCCAGGCCACACTTGGTATCTGGTGGCCACAGATGGCCTTCTGGACACCTCTGTACTCACTCCCATGCCCTTTCCCTGTGGCCTGGCATGGCCTGTAGCAGGTGAGGGTGGAGTCCTGGGCACACCTGGCTGGAAGTGGGTGTCAGGGCCAAGCCATGGGTTGCCCTCTGGATAGCAGGGAGGCCCAGAGTAGCAGCTGCAACCGAATGTTGGTCCAGCAGCCGAGTGTGGGGCAGCATGGGAATTGGGCCCCATGTCATAATCCAAGGAGCCCATAACCCCTGCCCTGCCAGAAACAGGAGCCCTCTCCACCCCAGGCAACTCTGGGCTGACCGAGACCAGCCTCTGCCGCCCTCTGGTGGTCAGTCCTAGGTCGTGCATGTGAGCCGGTTGGGGGGGGCAGAGTGACGTTTGGCTCTGAGCACCCTGCCCCACCCCCACCCCCAGCACTACACCTCAGATGCAGATGGACTCTGTACACGCCTCATCAAACCAAAGGTCATGGAGGGCACCGTGGCAGCCCAGGATGAATTCTACCGCAGTGAGTGCACCCTACCCCAGACCTCATGCCCGCCCAGCCCCTTCCACCCCAGCTTCCTAGCACTGGCCCCAGCCAGGAGGTACCGGAAACTCCAGGGAACCCCCCACACCTGGCGGGCCCAGCCGTGGTGCCCAGCCAGGCATCCTCACGCTCATGTACCCTCCCCGCAGGTGGCTGGGCCCTGAACATGAAGGAGCTGAAACTGCTGCAGATCATTGGGAAAGGGGAGTTTGGAGGTGAGTGTGGCGGGGCGCCTGGGGGGCGAGGGGCTGTGGGAGGCCAGGGAACAGCCTCCTCTCTCCCCGCCAGACGTGATGCTGGGTGACTACCGAGGAAACAAAGTTGCTGTCAAGTGCATTAAGAACGACGCCACCGCCCAGGCCTTCTTGGCTGAGGCCTCGGTCATGACGTGAGTTGGGGCAGGAGTTGGGGGGAGGCGGCCCCAGGCGGCATGCGAGGAGGCTTGGCAGGCTCTGACCACCCATCCCACCCCAGGCAACTTCGGCATAGCAACCTGGTCCAGCTCTTGGGTGTGATTGTGGAGGAGAAGGGCGGGCTGTACATCGTCACCGAGTACATGGCCAAGGTGGGTACTGCCCTGAGACCCGATCCGTCCTGGGTTGGAACCCTGGGGCTAGGACTTTCCAGCTGCCCTAAACCACCCCCTACCCTTGAGCCCCTGCTTCCTCAGTCTCCCACCCCAACTGACCTTTGAGGGTGCCAGGGTCAGCTTTTGTCTTGTTTCATTACTTATGGACTATGACCTTGGACAAGTCACGGCACCTCTCCAAGCCTCATTTTCACATCTGTGAGATGGAGAGAGTAACTAGCCTCCTGTGGAGATTTGTGAGGCTTAACAGAGAATCCGTGAATTGAGCTGACACCATCCATCCAGCAGGCTGTCCTGCCCCTCCCCGCCCTGTGTCTCCTCACACCTCCTTGGGTGTCACCACTTACCCAGCCTCCAGTCCACTGTTTCAGAGGGCTGCAGGACAGGTCTGACCTGGGCCTGTTGGTCTGTCCTGCCCCAGGGGAGCCTGGTGGACTACCTGCGCTCGCGGGGTCGGTCGGTGCTAGGCGGAGACTGTCTCCTCAAGTTCTCGCTGTGAGTGAAGCAGCCCTTGGGGGCGGGGCTCGAGGGGGTCCCCATCCTATTATGGGAGCCCTGTCTGAGGGACATGTGGCTGGCCCACCTAGAGACGTATGCGAGGCTATGGAATACCTGGAGGGCAACAACTTCGTGCATCGGGACCTGGCTGCCCGCAACGTGCTGGTGTCTGAGGACAATGTGGCCAAGGTCAGCGACTTTGGTCTCACCAAGGAGGCATCCAGCACCCAGGACACGGGCAAGCTGCCAGTCAAGTGGACAGCGCCCGAGGCCCTGAGAGAGAAGGTGGGGTGGCTTCCCTGGGCCTGAAGGTGGTGGGTGGGGCTCCCAGAACACTCCTACCCCAGATTCCCAGGACCTGATTCTACCTACGCCATTCACCTGCAGAAATTCTCGACTAAGTCCGATGTATGGAGCTTCGGAATCCTCCTCTGGGAAATCTACTCCTTCGGGCGAGTGCCTTATCCAAGAATTGTGAGTGTGGGCACCGGATCGGTGCCTGGCTGGGTGAGGGTGGTACTTGGAGCAAGAGAGGGATTGGCAGGGGTATGAAGCCTGGAAGCTTCAGGCCTGCCTTGGGGTGCCTCCAGGCCACCTCCCATGCCTGGGCCCGAGGGAGACTTCGCCCTCTCCTCACCCTCCCTTGGACATCACCAGCCCCTCGCCCACTGTTTCGGGGGCCTGCAAGTCAAATCTGACCTCTGGGCCCAGTTGGGATCTCTGACGAGGCTGCCGGGCAGGGGTCCCCTCAGGGCAGGCCCTGCACTGACGCCTGCCACCCCCTGCTTGCAGCCCCTGAAGGACGTCGTTCCTCGGGTGGAGAAGGGCTACAAGATGGATGCCCCAGACGGCTGCCCATCTGCCGTCTACGAGGTTATGAAGAACTGCTGGCACCTGGATGCCGCCGCACGGCCCTCCTTCCTGCAGCTCCGGGAGCAGCTCGAGCACATCAAGACCCACGAGCTGCACCTGTGACCACCAGCCGCGCCCAGTCCTGGGCCTGTGGGGACTGAACCTGGAAGGCCGTGGACCTGGTGGCCCTGCTCGCGGGGCTCGAGCCTGGACTGAGCCCCAGAGGGCTGGCAGCCTCTTTCCACTGTCCCAGCCTGCGCCCTCTGGCCCCAGGGACCCCGCTGAGGCCCGGCCCCTTCTCTTGGACCCGTGTGTGGGGCTCGGGGAGTCCACGGGGCCAGGGAGGGAGGAGACTGGAGAGCAGGGGCAGCGCCCCACCACGCCGGGTCCCAGCCCATCGCTCGCCTTCTTAGAGTTTTATTCCTTTCCTTTTTTGAGATTTTTTTCCGTGTGTTTATTTTTTATTATTTTTCAAGATAAGAAGAAAGTACCCAGCAAATGGGCATTTTACAAGAAGTACGAATCTTATTTTCCTTTCCTGCCCATGAGGGTGGGGGAACCGGGCTCCTCTCTAGGGACCCACCGCCCCAGCCTGTTCCCCTTCCGTGTTTCATGTCCCGTGTTGCCTCGGTCGCCCCGTGTTTGCGCTTGACCATGTTGCACTGTTTGCATGCGCCCGAGGCAGACGTCTGTCGGGGGCTTGGATTTCGTGTGCGCTGCCACGGCCCACCTGCCTTGTGAGATGGAACCGTAATAAACCACGCCATGAGGACACCGCCGCCGGCCTCGGCGCTTCCTCCTCCGAGCCCGCCTGTCCTGCCCGGTTGTCCCCCCATGCCATCTTGTCCATCCCCCTGTCTCTGTGAATGGGGCCGGGTGGGAGCATGGCCGGGAGATGTAGCCGCCGCTTTGTGTCAGCTGCACGAGCGAGTGTCCTGTGTCTGCCACGGGGGGTGCCCACAGCCCGTCCACTCCGTCCAGCTGCCACTCAGGCCTGGCTCTAGGCCCCGTCCACAGGTGCTCTGAGGGCTCCAGCTGCCTCTCCTGCTGTGTCATTCAAGCCTTTTGCACAAGGAGGGCTGGAGCCAGGGATCTTGGGGGAGCCCAGGCCTGACAGATGGGGATGGGTTTCTAGTTGGGCCTCTGTTCAAGAGTACGAGAAAGAGTGGTGGGCCCAGGAGCTGGACAGGCATCCCTGGTGGGAGACGAGTATCTCAGGCCTCCGAAGCTGCTGGCCCTGGAAGGTGATGGGAAAACAGAGGCTCTGAGCACCTGGTCCTCACATTTTGCTCATGGTGGAACAGTGCTCCCTGTCCCCACCCCCACCACATGCCAAGCCCTGTGCCCTTCTGGACTTTGCAGAGGAGAGAGGAGATCCAGGCACCCTCCAGTGACTGGCTACTGATTGTCCCCCTCACTTGGGTTGTCCAGGAGCAGTGGTCAGTGAAGCTGGGGGAGCTTGACTCCTTCACTGAGACAGGCAGTGGGAATTCCCTGTGTCCAGTGTGGCTGTGACCTTGGTGTTCTGACTTTGAAGACTGCCTTGTGTCTGTCCCTCGGCCCCACTGCGGCTCTATCCACCATCTTCTCTCTCCTGACCCAGTGCAACAGCCTCCCCACCTCTCCTAGTCCATCCTTTGCATACTGCCAGACTCATGTTTCTAAAACTAGACCGACAACATACCTCCATAGCTGCTGTGTGCTAGGACCGGGGTTCAGCAGGGAGCAAAACAGACCTTGTGGGGTTCACGGTTGGGAAGACAGATAATCACACACAGGCTATCAAAGTGCTATCAGAAATGCATAACATGGGAATCTATGTTGGTCAGGGAGGGCCTCCTGAAAGAAACAGCATTTATTTATTTTGGAATTGTAGTCTCACTGGCACCCAGTCTGGAGTGTAGTGACACGCTTACAGCCACTGCAGCCTCAACCTGCTGGGTTCAGGTGATCCTTCCACTTTAGCCTTCCAAGTAACTGGAACTATGGGCATGTACCACCACACCCATCTAATTTTTTTTTTTTTTGAGTCGAATTCTCACTCTGTCACCCAGGCTGGAGGGCAGTGGTATGTTCATTGCCACCGTAGTCTTGACCTGCTGGGCTCAGGCAATCCTTCTGCTTCAGCCTTCCAAGTAGCTAGAACTACAGGCACCTACCACACCCGGCTTGTTTTTTGATTTATTGCAGAGACGAGGTCTGACCAAGTTACCCAGGCTGGTCTCGGACCCCTGAGCTCAGGCAATCCTCTTGCCTCAGCCTCCCAAAGTACTGGGATTACAGGCTTGAGCCACCACGCCCGGCCTTAGTTTCTTAATTTTATTGTAGAGATGAGGTCTCGCCATGTTGCCCAGGCTGGTCTTGAACCCGTGGGCTCAAGCAGTTCTCTCGCCTCTGCCTCCCAAAGTTCTGGGATTACAGGAGTGAGCTACTGCGCTTGGCTAAGAAGCAGCCTTTAAACTGATTAGCAGCATGAGCACGGGTGGGGGTTGGCAGCATGCCAGGAAGAAATGCTGAGACTGTAGCAGGGGCAGTTTTGTCCCAGGATCTCAGAGAAGGTGGGGAGGATGTAGACAGCCTAAGGCAGAGGCAAGGCTGTGCCAGAGCTTGGCGTTACCCAGCCGGGAGTCGCAGGGAAGCCAGTGACAGGTTTTGAACAGGAGGGTGACGGGTCAGATATGTCATTTTGAAGCGATCACTCCTATCTACTAGTAGAGAAGGTTCGAAGGGAACTCAGGAGAGGTCCAGGTGAGAAACGACCAGAGAGGAAAGAGGTAGAACTGCCCGAATGTGCTCATGGGTTCAGTCCGAGGGTGAACAACAGTACAAGGGGACAAGGTGGCTCGCCTTCCGGAGGGGCATTGCCAGTTCTGTTCAAGGCATGTTGGGCTTCAAGTGAGCCTTTGAAGCCGTCAAGAGGTGCTGGGAAGTTGTTGGAACCCAGAGCTGGAGAAGAGTTTGAGAGTCATCAACATCAACTTGAACCCATGGGCAAGGCAGATGAAGTCACTGTGGTAGGACACAGAGAGGAGAGAAAAGCTCAGGGCCCAGCGTTGAGGAGTTCTTAGTACTGAAAGGTCAAGAGGAGCTGGGCTGGGCACAGTGGCTCAGTCTGTAATCTCAGCACCTTGGGAGGCAGAGGCGGGAGGAGTGCTTAAAGCCAGGAGATCATATTGTGCTACCCGGTTTCTTTCTCTTTTTTTTTGAGTTGGAGTCTCACTCTGTTGCCCAGGCTGGAGTGCAATGGCACGCTCATGGCCACCGCAGCCT